GTGAGGGCCGAAGGAAGGAGGGAGGGAGAAGTGAGGGCCGAGGGAAGGAAGGAAAGAGAAGAGAGGGCCGAGGGAAGGGAGGAGGGAGGGAGACGTCAGGGCCGAGGGAGAAGGAATGTCCGAGAAAGGAGGGAGAGCGGAGAGAGGGCCGAGGGAGGTAGGGAGGTAGGGAGGTAGGGAGGTAGGGAGGTAGGGAAGAGGTCAGTCGGAGGTCGAGAGTAGAAAGGAAGTGGAGGAAAGAGGAGAGCGGACTGAGGGCGGGGAGAAGATGGAGGTGAGGCGGAGATCAAGTGCAGGTCGGGCGGACGGAGGAAGGAGAGATATCAAGGGAGGGAGGTAAGAGAAATGGAGACTCACGTCAGCCCGCCATGTCCACTAAACGAACTTCAGCCGACAACGATCAACCAACCACGCGCAAGCCTTCGGCCACGACGTAACCCAGCGCCCAAGTTCCAGAAAAGTGGAGTGGACAATGCCTCAAGCGCACATTGCAGTACGCCACTCGAAGTTCACGTAGCACCAAGCTCACGAATCACCAAGCTCACGAAGCACGTAGCACCAAAGCCCGAAGCACCTAGCACCGAGAGAGAGAGAGAGAGAGAGACCAAGAGAGAGAGAGAGAGAGAAAAAAAAAGATCGCGTGAGCAGGTCACGTATGGTAGGCAAGTTCGCCAGTGCAGGTGGGTCGCGCAGGCCAGGGACATCCGGAGTGAAGGTCGGTCGTGTACGGCTGGCTCGTCCGGTTGCGCACGCACGTCGCCGAGGGCCTAAAGTAGAAAGAACGAATGAACCGACCCTAGAAACAGAACCAAGCACATCGGTCACAGACCTTTGCGTCCGTTCAGAGTTTCCTTTTTTTCTTTTTTCTCCAAGCTCGACGGCACGGATCTCCTGACTCGAGATCGAGAAAGAACAACTCAAACTCAGTAGGCGTTGCGTGAGGTTTAGAGGGAGGGAGACAGGAAAGGAGGTCAGAGGAGAGGTAGCGCTTTACCGGTGTCAAGATTGAACGAGTGGTTGTATAAGGGATTGGTACAGGGTTCCGCCAGGACCGTACGATAAGTTGAATAAGGTCCTTCAGTTAGAGGTGTGGTATTCAAGCTAAACCGGGGGCAAGGTCCCACTTGTGCAAATTAGGAGATCTCGGCCGTTGATCTTTGGTATCTACGGTCAGTATCTCTTAATTCGTGCAAGTGGGACCTAGCCCCGGCTGATGCTGCCGGGATAACTTCCGGCCTCTCTCAAATATTCCCTCGCAATTGAATCAAATGTGTCCTTCGCTGTCCCAAGCCTCCAATTTTTTTTTTGATCGAGAAATCGACGGGCGAATAGCGCTCCGGTAACAGCGCCGCTACTCGCCTTACTGCGGGTAGCGCTGTTTACCTGCGGACCCCGCCGCCATGACGGGGAGCAGGACAGCGGACATGCCCGCGTCCTTTTCAGAGGCGGAGACTACGTCTCGAGGCATCGTCTTCTTCAAACAGTCCATAGCCAACTAGGGTAGGACCACATCACATTGCTTTCAAAAGAGGAAGGACGTTGAGAAGAAAGGCGGAAGAATAAGGGGAGGAGGGGTAGATACAACTGGGGAGTAAAGGTTGGAGCACGCTGGACTGAGCCAAGTTACCACGGTAATTCAGACTGTTTGCGCCACCAGAGAATCACCGATTCAGCAACCGAGAGCAACCAATTGAGACGGGGTCTTTCTCTCGTGCCCTGGAAACTCGAGCGCTCGCACTGTGGCCGAGTAGGAAAACGACTGGTTGCAGTGACGGGGGGTGGAATGGTAGCCCCGCCGCACCCAACAAAGGGGAGGTAACGGAAAGGTAGGGTAAAAAGAGAGGAGGGAGGTAAATAGACGAAACATCACACAACCAGCGGGGGTACAGAGGCGCGGCTTGATCCGCCCCCACATGCGTTTGAGCACGAGGGGGAAGGTCAAGTCGTGCCGAGTGGACTAGGGACGGGGATAGAAAGATAGCAGTTCCGAAGCAGGGAAGGGGGAATGCAATCAAGATTTCCGATCCCCGGTGTTTCCTTCCACAGCGAGGAGTAAGTGTTCAACTGAAATTGGAAGAGTCGTGGCGCCGACGAGGCAGGGGCTGCATAGAAGCGGGCCGGGAAAGGAGTTCGATAAGCAGAGTTACAGCGAATACGACCGATTGAAGAACCAGAAGGGTTTGAGGGTCCGCCCACCCCCTTGACCAGACCGAGAAAGCGAGCCAAGTGTCAATAAGAGAAGCCATGTGCACACCCGATCGTACGAAAAGGGATGGGCGATCTGTCCTTACTACGGATACAGTACTATAGTGGGGAGGATGGCATGAGCGGAGACTGTCAGCCGATCGGTGGAACTGGCGGGAAAGAATCGACCGGGCAGGCAAGGGGAAGGATTGGGTTAGGCTATACATAAGAAACGAACAATCTAGAGTCCCAACAAAGACCGGGAGGCGAGTTTGAGTGAGGAAGGGGGTACAGGGGATCGACAACAAAGAAAGGTCTCGCGGTGGACACCGGAAACAGGAGCCGTGTGGTGAGGCTCACTCGGGCAGCGCCAACACACGTCGAAAGGAGACGGGGCAAGACGTGATTTTAAGCATTGGTCTGGCGGAATATGGACAGATCTACGGGGCATGATGAACTGGGCAATAGTACAGGCAGATACGTCCCCCGATCCGTCGTGCAGGGAATAGCTCACAGCATTAAGGAGTAGGGTCAAGACGGGCGCACTCTAATGCGCCAGGTCGGCAGGATCCCGTAGCTCAATCAAGCAAACATCTGGATACGGCGAGCAGAGTGCGGGATTCAGTAGGCCGGTGCTATGATGAAGGAATCTGCCCCGAGGACCTGGATCTCGGCGAAGTGGTGGAAGATGAGGAAGGTAAAAGATTTGTGGTGAACGGGGCAATGGATAGCATCAAGGAGAACTGGCTTAAAGAGAGAACCGTAATCATGGTCTTTCAGGAAGAAGTGAGATTCTTATCAAAACAGGTGAAAAAGGACCTGGTCAGAGCATACGAGGATGGGTGGATGACACAGAAAATCTTCAATCCAGAAACAAGGAGGGGTAGAATCCGCTTTGAAGGCCAAAACTTTATCTCATACGTAGCTAAGGCTAAGGAGGTGGCTGAGTGGCTGCTGAAGAGGGGTGAAGAAAAACTGAAGTTGGGTTCAAAAGAGTACCTAACGACGTTTAAGCCATGGATGTCGCGCCAAGAGATACGTGATTTGAGACTGCAAAAGGCTGAGTCAAACTTCTGGATTGTTGCCTTGCGTGTACAACTAGATGTCTACTATTACTTGCCGAGTGCAGTCAGGGGTGTGTTCGGGAAGATACGGGCGGTGCATCCTCCGGAGTATGACAAAACACGGCCTAAACTGATGAATGTCAAGACAGACATGCATCCAGATACGAGATTTAACGTGAACGATGTCCTCGTGATCGAATCTCCCAGAGGGGAAAGGTGGACGGTGGAGATCGCTACGCCATACACAGACTGGTGCAGAAAGTGCAAATGGTACTTCCACACGGAGGAGAACTGCCCGAGGTCAAGACAAGAGGAGGGGGGGAGGAAGGAAGGGGGGGGAAGAGTCGGAGGCCATAGAGAACAGTTCCAGCAACACCTACGAAGCAGGAACCAACAAGTAGGAGGAGAGACAGGCGCAACAGTGGGACAACAGTCCAGATCTCAAGGTAATCAAGAGGACCCCAGACAAGAACTTAGGCAAGCGCCATCAATTCAACAGTCAATTCAACAGCCAGATCAAGCGAGGCGCAGCTCAAGCCAGATGGGCTTCATGGCCAACCATGATAGCCTCCGTTGTGGTCTTCCCAACATAAGAGTGGAAGAGAACAGAGGACAAGAGTCACAGGTCTGGGCGCACAGAGAGTTGCATCAGCAAGGGCACGCTCAAGAGTTTCACAAATTATGATCATCACGGGGGACTGGAACCTGTCGTTGGATGATCTACGCACCGACGGAGGCAGGGGAAAGAGCCAGGTTCTTTACCAACCTGTGTCTAAATATCCCAAAGTTAGACAATCTGATCATCGCGGGGAACTGGAACCTATCGTTGGACGAGGCTCTGAAACCGGAATAAAAAATTGTTGACAAGAAAGATGTACTGGCCCTGTTGACACTGACGGAAGAGTTAAACCTCGCTGACCCCTACAGAATCCTGTCCCCTGATGACCCAGGTTACACCTGGCAGTCCCACCTACAGCGCCAAAGGAGAGGGCAAGGGGGAGGGGTGACGAGGCGAAGACTGGACTACTTCCTTACCGTCGTCCCAATTTTGGAAAGAGTCACAAGAGTGCAGCAGATCTGCGATCCACTGTCCGACCACAAGCCGGTGATGGCGAACATCAAACTGCAAATAAGCAGCGAACGGGGAAGGGGGTTCTTCAGACTGAATTCCCAAATCTTGGATGACCTTGGTCTCCGGGACTGGGTAGGACAACATATGAGGGATTGGGCGGGGGCCAGGCACCTGTTCCAGGCGGCAGAGGACAGGGCGGATGGAGGCATTGCCATTATATCAGGAATGCTTGATGTCTGCTACAGGATCATGGCAAAGGCTAGAAACCAAAAAGAAGCGGAGTGCAAGCGGAGGGTGGAGGAGGCGGAGGCGAGAATGGAGGAACACCCAATCTCGGCTCTCACCTGGGTTGTCGAGAGAGAGAGGAGGTTAGCTGAATGAGAGGACCTGCAAACGGAGAAGGAAAGACGGTGGACTGACCTGTTGAAAGAAAAAAGCATTGAAACAAATGACAAGATGAATAAGGAAACGTTTCAGAGGCTTTTACCTCGGCTCTCGATGCAGCAAATGGTCGAATTGAAGCACCCGTTCAACGAAACAGCGCCAATGGCTTCTACAGCTTCCGGGATGCTAGAGTACGCCAAGTTGTACTATGAGGACATCCTTACCATGCGCAGACCACAAGATAGTGTGGACACCGACCTCATTGAAGTGTCCGACTTCTGGGAGGACACCCAAGTGAGGATACCTCAGGCAGCAAGACTTGACCTGGACAGGCCTCTCACCTTGGAGGAAACCACCCAAACGCTGAAATCAATGGCGAGGGGTAAGTCCCCAGGGATAGATGGGTTAACAGTGGAGTTCTATGCGAAGTGCTGGGAAGAGATGGGACCACCTTTGGTCGATCTGTACAATGGGGTACTGACAGGAGGAAGGCTGGGGAAGAGGATGACACACGGGGTGATCTCGGTCCTATTCAAGAAGGGGGATAAGGCGGAGGTGCGCAACTGGCGCCCGATCTCCTTGCTGAACGTGTCATACAAAATTCTGGCCAAGTCTTTGGCCAGAAGGTTAGGTCGATACCCGAGCTGGTGGAAAAAAAACTAGGCGCATTTGTTCAAGGGCGGTCCATCTTCAACAACATTGCCACTGCCATCGAGGTTCTGGAGGTAATACAAGTAGAGAACCTTGACACAACAGTCCTCCTACTCGACTTGGAAA